TGTAATATCACGGAAAGCCTTGACAAAATATCAGTTGATTTTCAGATTTCTATTTCACTGTAAGCATGTTGATAGGCAACTCTCTGGGGCATGGCAAGTACATCAGGTATGAGTTTTCAGTTACTTTTACTAACAGTAGTAAAGTAGCTTCTCTTTTCCTTTTTGACTTCTGATAGATTTGCATTTTTGCTTATTTTGTTATTATAGGGTCTCCGCAAGCTTGACATGCAAGGAACTACAGTTTCTGTATCATCTTTGTTATGTCGCAATATGCTGAAGTTCATAAATAGTCTCTTACACTATTTGACATTTGAGGCAAGTTCCACCCCTTCTCAGGGAACTGCAGTTCCTATGTTAGTTTGCTATGTCTGCCTGTCTTTGGTGCATTAATTTCTGCTTGAATGCTTTGAGTTTCCTACTTCTCTATTTGTATTTTTTTGATATGTTATTCTTCCTTTGTTATTTTAATTTCTAGTTGCATACTTTGAGTTTCCCAGTTTTTCTCGTTGTTCTTTTCATCACTGTCACCATACCACCACTAATGTATCCTTCCCTTTCACGATTCTTCTTCATTATCAATGCTATATTAGACATGTGCTTTAGTACATTTATTAAACTAGTGAAGACAGCTGTTCCTTTTTTCTCTTGTTAGAAAGTCAAATGAATGAATTATATTGGCTGATATAAAAGACGGCTGACTGTAAAAAATTTGATATTTTATTGGCTGATATATAAAAGGGTTGATAGTATAAGTTTTGATATGTATTGCTAGTCAGATTGAACCAGTATTTTATTGTATCTTCAGGTGCTTGAACCTAACTGGCATGTAATGCTCAGTAGACTTCAAACAGCGAAAAGCATTGACGAGGTAAAATGATTATGTACAAAGAAATCTTGTGTCAAAACACATTATAGGAGAGACTCTTGCTGGGGTGGTCCTTCTGTTTCAACTTGATGTGTTGTCTCATTGATTCTTTGATTAATTTTTGGGGCAGGTTATCCAATACCATGACTTTTTTCTTGATAAGTGCTTGAGGGAATGTGTGCTTCTATCACCAGCCCTTCTTAAGGTTAGTTATGATTTCCAGTCCTGGTTATTGGTGTCCTTCAGTTACTTTGTTCCTAATTATAAAATCTTTACAATAGATGATACTGATGATAGCCCTTCTGCAATGTTCAAGAACCTACATTTGTAGCAACTGCCAGATTACGTTTTAGGTTTCGAGTCTGTTCCTTCAGGGGATCAATTTTGTTATTTTGTTGTTCTAACTATTTTTACTGTCCTGATTTTCTCATGAATATTTTTCTAAATGCAGAAAGTGGAGAGGTTGAAATTGATATGTCTGCAATATGCAGCTGCAATGCAACGGCTGATTACCTCCTCGTTGGATACTAATGACAATGACACATTGTCTAATGATTCTCCCAGTATAGAAAAATATAAGAACTTGAAACTAAGGACCCCATATCAGATGCTGAGGCTAGCTCCTGAAAACGTCACAGTATTAGAATCCGTTCTGTATGTTATAACGAATTTGTACTTTTGGTTTTTAATCTCTCTTATCTGTGTCTCTCATAGTTAACTATAATCATTTTGCAGGAAATTTGAGAAGGAATTTTCGTTTGAGCTTCATAGCCTGGGACCGATATTAAGCAGTGGCTCTCGAGCAGAACCATACTTGACTCATCTTGCACAGTGGATCCTTGGTGTGGGAAAAGACCAGTAAGCTGATTGTATTTGTTGCCTACAAACTTAGTTTTAAAATTGCAGTTTTAGTAATCTTATGTCTGTTCGATTTCTTTTTCTTCTTAAAAACTCGGTTGAGCTTGTAGAGTGTGATCATTGTGAAATCAAATCAAGCTTTTCTATTTATTTACGTCTGTTTGATAGATACTGAAGGAAATATGTTGTTCTCCATTTCCAAGTATAAAGAAAATACACTATTTGGACTAAGGTTACTAGACACAGTTGAACCTATATCTTGATTTCTATCTCCGCCCTGAAAATATATACGACCTAAACAATTATTTTCGATCCCGAATAGCGAAAACATATATCGATCTATTTCAATTATTTGATTATATATACATAAAATACATTTCTGTAGTGTAGTAAACTACCTAAGGTTGAACTAATCCTAACATTTTTGCTGATTAACTAAATACAACAACCGATGGCTATTGGGTTTGTTGGCTCTAATAAATGGATAGGCAGCCGCTCCTTCTCCTTAAAGTCAAAAGAGGATTTGGTATTGCTTTATGAGAGGAGAATTATTTGTCCAAAAATTATAATGCAAGTAAATCTTTGATTTTTTTTTTGCGTAATATTAGATATTTTATGTATATATTTTTAGAATTAATTTAATATTATTTATTGATTTTAATTCTAAAAAAAACTGAATAATATACCCTTAATTATTGATTTATTAATTTGTAATTTGTTTTAAATTATAAATTTAAATTTTTTCTATTTTTTAAAAATATCGTGTCCGGTCAAACAATATCATTGAAATGGAAGAAGTACTAGTTTTATGGAAGCTTCTAAAAACTTTGTTTGTTGCTCAACGTCTTTATTTTTCTTGATGCCTAAGACTTCTTCATATAATAACAACTAGTAGTAGAAGAAAAGCAAATGTGGAAGAAATAACTAAACGGAAGTTTTCATTTATTTTATTTTTTGGGTAGCGTCAACATGTGTAACACTGACCTATTTGCTTATTCAACAGAGTTCCTTAATTTTTTTTCTTAAAGGATTTGAAGTTGAAGTTGTTAAATTGATAATATAATGAATTTTTAATATTAATAATGTAATTTAATATGTTATATAACAAGTCGATTATAATTTATTATAGATTGTCAAATCAATATTATTATACATAATACATACATAATTCTGAAATGATCTAATTACGTAATTATCTTTTTGTACAAGACATCTAGTTCATAAAGAAAGTATTATACTTTGTCAAGTGGGGGTAGAAAAAAACAAGGGTATTATTGTGGAGGTTAAAAACTATTCCCTCTAGTCCAATAAAAATATATTGTTAGACATTTTTTTATGGTTCAAAATATATGAATTTTTCAAAGTTTTAGAATAAATTTATTTATTTATTTTATTAATAAAATTACTTTTCTTTTAAGTGGGAGTTTCAACTATTTTTAAATCTCAAATAATTATCATTACTTTTAAGAAGAGTTTGGAAGAATCAAAAGGGTAGTATTAACAAATTACCTTTTGATTGATGTCTTTAAGCATATTTTTTAAAGGATGTGTCACACTCCAACTATGTAATTATATTGGGCTAGAGAGGATATAGTTCTATTAGCAACCTAATTGAATATTTTGGTTATATTACAATAACGATAATAACAATACTTAATGCGATTCTATAATTGAGGTTTATAAAAAATAAAATATCCACATATTTTACCTACATTTTTATGATATACTTTTAATGTCGGTCGTATTGCATTCAACGGGTATGATAGCACTAAAAATAAATTCAAACTATTTAGACTTTACATATTGAATTGTTTGGAAAAAAAAAATCTCACCCCCAAATAAATTTCAGTAGTTTACTTACCAAAACACATTTAATAACTTTCCACACAAACCAAACACTGACTTTGGAAAAAATTAACGCGTCACCTTTTTGACTCATAAAATTGCACCTCCCCTCTTTTTTCTTCCCAATGAGCAGTAAGCAAATATGTACTACTCATTAAGGCATTGTGTGTACTTTTAGAATACCAAATTTTTAATTAAGATGTTAGATAGGGACACATCAACCTCTCTTTATAAAAAAAAGTCAAAATAAGGAAACTTCAATAATTATACATATAGATCTTGACGTATGAGACTAGTTATATTTTATTCATGGAAGTTGAAATCTAAATGGTTTACGATTTAGAATAGAATATGTTAATTTCTTTAAGTCATATCTAAATAGAATTTATAATCAGGATAATATTAGAACAAGGATTTTAAATTCTAGTTAAAATAGGTTTAGTAATATTATAAATAGAAATATTACTATTCAATTTTCTTATTTAAACTAGTGAATTTTGAATATCGATTAGATAAGGAAAAAAAAAAGAGTTAAAACTCTTTCAAGATTCTATATATATCAACCAAATACTACACTATTTGTCACATCCACCCCACAATTTTTTCTCCCTATGGCAGAGCAACAAAGAATTCATCCAGTACCTGAACCAGAACATGAACTTCCAGTACAAAAACCGTCTGTCCCTTTAGTGCCAAAGGGTTCTTTCAGTTCAGAAAAAGGTGATCCTGAGAAGCAGCAGCAGCAGCAAGAACCACCTTTTAGAAGAACAATCCCATATTATCCACCATTAAAACCACCAAAGAGAAGATGTTGTTCTTGCAAAAGATGTCTATGTTGCACATGTTGTCTGTTGTTGCTCATCATCATAATCATTGCTGCTTTATCTGCTGCTTTTTACTTTGTCTTCCAGCCAAAAATACCAAAGTACTCTGTTGACAGTATGAGAATCACACAGTTCAATTTCAATAATGACATGAGCTTATTGTTTGCTACTTTTAATGTTAACATCACTGCAAGAAACCCCAACAAGAAAATTGGGATTTACTATGAAAGTGGTAGCCAATTGAGTGTTTGGTATACTGGTGTTCAGCTTTGTGAAGGGTCATTGCCAAGATTTTATCAGGGTCATCAGAATACTACTGTACTTAGTTTGGATTTATCAGGACAAACACAGAATGTTACTGGATTGTTGCAGGCACTGCAGGTGGATCAACAGAGAGGAAGTATTCCATTGATTCTCAGGGCAAAAGTTCCAGTGAAGCTCAAGATTGGGAAATTGAAGCTTATGAAGTGGAACTTTTTGGTTAAGTGTAAGCTGGATGTGGATAGATTGTCTGCAAATAATGCTATCAGGATTAGGAATAGTGATTGCCAGTTTGGTTTTAGGTTATAGTCCAGTCTTGGAATTATTTTCTGTATAATTATTTTTTCTTCCTTTTTTTACAGATTTTTTTTTCAATATCTGTTGACACTGTTTACTCATACTATTTTGGATTGATATAAATAAGTGATCTGTTTCCTCTTTACTTATTTTGATCTTACTGGTTTGATGTGAAAGGAGCAGAATTATCAGTATCCAAAAGAAATTCATGAACAAGGCAATATAATTAAAAAGGGCAGCTCGGTGCACAAAGGTTCGAAGAGGGACTGCACCTCAAAGGGGCGTGATGTAGGCAGCCTACCGTGACCTATAGGTCAACTTTAGTGTTGTGAGGCTTCTCTGCTGAACAAGGTAATACAATTACTATGAGTATTTCAATCTTGATATAATGTGAAGTACAATCACTTTATTTGAGCTTTTTGCTATGACTTTTGCACTCCAAAGAAGTTCAATATTTGATTACTTTTCTTACTTCTTCAGTCTTCTGCCTAGTTTACTTAATTCCTGTATCTTGGTGAGACCTTCATGGCTGTGGCCTAAGCAGATAATAAGAGCATCTATTGCTATGATTATTGCAATATACATGGTTAAGTATAAAAGTGACACTAGATGAATAGTTGGCATCCTCCTCCTGTCCAAAGAGAACAAATAGCTTATATGGAAGTGCTCAAGGTTGACACTCCCATCAAGAATGATATGCGAATTGGAACTAACTCACTGGCAGTTCCAAAATCCAACTGTGTGCTATATACATATCAGGTGTAGGAAAGGGACTTTTATAGGATAAATGATATTCTCATCTTTTGCAGGGAATTCTAATTGCTATCTCTGAAGTCAATTTGAAATGGTGCATCCAAATGACTAACTATTACACATGTTTGTTTGTATGCTTTTGTTCCCTACATTAAAGTGATGCTCCAATTTTAGCACTTCAAAGAATAACTGTGACACAGATCCCACGAGTAGGCGGTAGATGAATTACATTTTGCTTCAAAAGTAAATCATTTGCAGACAACATTCAACGAAAACGAAAGGTTGCAAAGCGTACAATCTTCAATGAAAACAAAAGGCTGCAAAGTGTGCAACCACAACTAAAAATTCTATTCTAAAACAAACTGCATACATCTTAACAAATTCTTCGATGCTTTAAGTAGAAGCAGGCATAGAAATCCCTCCTCTAAGTCCAACCCTGCCACGGCCTATTCCTGTTTGCTGGTTGTCAGATTCCCTCCTCTTCACATTCACTCTTCTTTTTCCTTCTTCCATGTCATGGCCAATCTCAGATATTGCATGCCTTTGAAAGCCTAGAGGACTCTTGTTATCATCTCTACTGTAGGATTTTGAAGAAGGCCAACAGTCAGTTGAATCAGCCGAATTTGGTTCCCATGAGGAAGGGGAAAGCCAATTTTGCTGACCACCAACAACACTGTTGCTTCCTGAGGATTCTTGTTCTTCCATATCAGTTCCCCTTCTGAAAGTTACATACTTCTGTATGCTTGGCTCCATTAGGTCACCACTCACAGCAACTTCAGACTCCATGAAGGGATCCTTGATCCCTAACTTCTTCTTCCCTAGAGGATCAAAAGAAGCATTATCATTCTGACTAAATTGCTCAGATGTGGGGTTTCTTCTCCTGTCATCGGAGAAAGCACTGGACAGATTGGAGCTAGTGGTTGAGTTCAGGTCAGCAACTGCATCAACAATTGAGCAAGCTTTTGTTACACAAGGTGGTAGTGAAAATGCAGGGGTGGTGGTATTAGTCTTTTGATGGAAGTTTTGGATGTCCTCAAGCAACAGTGCAGTATATGATTGAGGAGGATTTGAGAGAGCTTCAGGATTGATATCTAGGTCCCTAGATAGCCTTAAAGACCTGCTTCTCTGGGGTTTATGGCTTTCGGGTCCTGAAACAATCACATTCATTGCAACATTATGCTGCTGCTCCTTGACTTTGCCATTGCTCACAGTTTCTGCATTCAACTTCTGCAAAGAGAGAGCACATCAATATCGATACTAAATCAATTGAAATCCCGTACTAATCGGGGCCAATGAATACTCCACTCTCATTAGTCTATAGAGGTCTATTTCAAGTAAATTATTCATCCTCCAAGGAAAATAAGGTTCTTTAAATTTCACATTTATTCCTACATAGATATGCAAAATTCTAACAAGACTAACATCAGTTTCCATTCTCTAATTTCACACTTATACCTACACCAGACCTACAAAACTAAAATTCATTGCATCAAAGGTTTGCTAGCACAAGCAATTATCAGCCAATCTATGATAAATAAGCAAAAACTAAACCATGACTTTTTTTCTAAAGAAGTCTACAAACTAATAAAAGGAGCCAACCTGGGAAGGGACCTTCAGTCCTGGCGCGGGCATCTGCTCCAAGACAACATTGGTGTCAATCTCACTGAGAGGATTTCTTCTGTAGGGAGATTGCTCGTGTTTCCTTGAATTGCTACGGCTAAGGGACATGGGCTGCTGTTGATTTTGGTTGGAATGAGCATTGTTATCTCTCTCATTCAACACCTTTGCATTCACCCTTGCTGGTGACCGAGCACGCGGAGATGCAGCAGTTCTTGGTCCGTCGCCACCTGCATTTCTCTTCACTTGAATCCTCTTAACAGCAGCAGCAGATATATTGTCAGTTCCACCAGCATCAATGCTCTTATCCATCACCATAGATGAAACAGTAGCAGGTACAGATACCATCTTCCCTGGCCTACCACCATTATTTCCATTAGCATTAGCAGAAGCCACATTACCACCATTTGTGGTAGTAGTAATTGGTGAGTCAGATCTTCTACCAGGAGATCTGCTCACCCTTCTACCCCCTCCTCCACTGCTGCCTCTTTCTCTACTACTCCCCGACCGCTGCTGCTGTTGCGCCTGGTCTCTCTCCCTACTCGGGGTTCTCCTCCGTCCCTGAGACAAAGAATTAGGGGTTCTAGGCTGACGCTGGCGTTGCCTATGGCGACGAACTCCATTCCCAACAACCCCATCATCCTCACAATCCACTACATTTTCTTGCATCCCCTCATTACCATTGTCATTCTCAAAATCAAAACTCCTCTTGGAACCAGAGTACTTTCTACTCCTTTGAGGAGTATCAATAGATCCACTAGAACCCAAAACCCCTGTCTTTCCAGTAGATGAACTCCTGCTAAGCCTCCCACATTGTATCAAAATAGCATCAACCTCTTCTTTAGTACAACTTGAAGTCCTCACAGGAGCCGATACAACAATACCATTCTCTTTGCCTAACCCTAACCCACCATTGCTATTACTAATACCATTTTTCACAGTCTCAACTACTTCAATTCCTTTTTTAACCATACCCTTTTCTTCTTCAGTCTTCCTATCCACTTCATGGCTTTTTCTGTGTTTAATAACAAAGATCTCTTTTTTCACACTTTCTCCTTCTACTTCTTTCTTGTTCTCCACTTGGGTACTATTTTTAACAATTTCTTGATTTGTATTTGAAACAGTAGAAGTAGAAGTAGACTTAGAAGAAGAACAAGAAGTGTTCTTCTTACTCAAACAACTCCCCATTTTTTCTCCCAAGAACTGAAATTTTCAAAATTTCACTGAGAAGAGAAGAGAACAACACGAAGATGAAAGATTTGTAACGGGCAGGAGAGGAGAAAAAGATAAGAGGAAAAGGGGAAAAGGGGTTCAGAGTTCAAGAAAACCACTCAATTAAAAATGGCAACTTTATGGGGTAATAGAAATAGATTCAGAAGTGGCATTTCAAATTTTGACTGAGGCGGGCAAGGGGAGTGGAGTGGGTTGGGGCGTGGGGTGAGGGAGGCAGTCTGTCAATAGAGCCGTTAAAAGGGGGTTTTATTAATTTTTTCAAAGTAGAAAATAATTAATGTTGTCACCTATATATTGTTTCAAGGAATAAAAACAAAAAATGTTGTTTTGTTATGCTATTTTATGAAGTATGTTTGGGGAATGATGAGAATCTTGATCCAGTTTTTGGATTAGGGAATCCTTCAACGGTCGTTTGATCAGTGAGGGCACTTGGGTCACATTAATTTTGGTGTTGTAATTGTACCAATTTTTTTAAAAATGTGATGCCTTAATATAGAGAAAATTGATTTCACTAGGACAAATGAGTAATTAAGGCAACAATTCAACCAACCTACCATAATGGGAAGCAAATTTTAACATGTTGCCAAAGGTACCAAATTCACCTTCTATTTGAAATTAATTAATTTTGTCCTTCGTTAATTTTTTATTCACTTATATTCTTGTTTTTTGAAAGAAAAGAACGTCTTGTGTTCAAAAATTTTGAAAAAAATGTTCAAATTTATTCCTAAACTTTTGATTATGATTTGAAATTACTTTGTGTTGAAGCTTTGTTTTCGGTCAATGTCAAAAAGTGTGATTATGATTTAAAATTACTGGGGCAAATTTGATCATTTTTATTAGGAAAAAGTGTCTGAAAAATATTTCAATTTTGGCCGAAATTGTTATTACGATACCAAACTTTATGGAGGATCTTTTACCCCTGCAATATTTAATAGTATATTTTAAAGGTATATATGTACTCACGTGGACAAGTTACTATTTATAATTATGCAATATTTATGATGTCCACATGGACACATATATACCTTTAAAATACACTATTAAATAGTGCATGAGGTAAAAGGTCTTTTCCAAAGTTCGATATTGTTACAGCAATTTCGTTCAAAGTTCGAATATATTTTAGACTTTTTTCCCTTTTCATTACTCTATATTTCAGCATAGTTTCAGCAATATGAAAGTTGATTTCAAGTACTCCCCTTCTGTTTCATATTATTTGGCTTTTATATTGAATATAGATGTTTTATTTTACTCGTCCAATTTAGAAAATCAAGAAAGCTCTATTATATTTTCTTTCTTTCTATCATTAAATATTAAATTACATAAAATAGTGGTAATAGTTAAATTTAGAATTTTAAAATATTATTAATAAGATTAATTTAGTAAAATACAGTGCTGATAAAAGTTTTCTTAAGAACTATATATGTCATATCAACAGGGATCAAACAATATAAAACCTAGTGAGTAATAACATTTCATTTCATCTCTTATAGCTTTACAAGTATGTATGCTTTTGTAGCTAGTGGTGTTTGCTGAAGCATAGAAAAATATACCAGAGCAGATCTGGTAATTTCTACTTTTTAAGTCATGTCTTTTGTATAATAAGTGAAAAAAAATTTACACTTTTTATAGTGAAAAAAATTCTACTTTTTATGTCAATTTTGGATCAAAATGATTAATAGTATGGATATTTTTGAATTAAAATATTATTGGGCAAAGATATTTTTAAACCAAACTATTAACGGGTGACATTTTTATTCAACTTCACATCATTTAAAAACATATTCGACTATTTTCCATATTTTTTTTATCTAAAAGTTCGTTATAGTCAAATGGTAGTAATTTGTGTGCCAATGTTAAGACCTAGGAAGGATGCTTTGAAAGAAATAAAGGCTCCCCACTATCAGGGCTTTGACTGGTTTTTAAATTTTACTGTTTGACTAAGGTAACTTTCTAGTGAGAATAGAAAATAAACAACCATCAAATCTCAGAGAGCCGTTTGAATTGATTTATTTTAAATATTTTTAAGTAAATACGATGTTTGAGTAAAATAATAATAATGTAGTAGTAATACTTATTTTTAAATCAAAACAACATCGAAAAGAAGTTTAAAATCATAAATTAGCAGCCAGTCCTTTCTTTTTTTTCTTTTTTTTTGGAAGTTGGAATTCCCAATATAAGTTTTTGGAATTTTTCTAATTTGTTTGAACCACTAACTGAAATGTCAAACGAGCCCCCCCCCCCCCCATATGACTTTGTCCCAAAAATCTCGAGCTAAAATTTGTAGCTTATGGATTAGCGTCCTTTTGAGTTATTATTCAGAAATGAATTTCTTAAGATAAATACAAAATTTAAATCAAAATTATTGAATTTGACTTAACCCACTTTCTACATTCTAGCTCTGCTGTGCCAAAAACTCTCTTGGAGCAGAAGTTCAGACAATTGATCTAAACATTATGGCATGTTCTGCTGACTTCTCTGGTGCCTATGTGAACATATATATAAGTTTGTCGATAGGTAGGCTGAGTGTATGTCGAAAGGTGGTTAGTTGAATGATATTTGCTGAAATTAGTACTATATACATAGGTCAAATGTTACTTTTTGTACATGTATATTAAATTTTGAACACCCTCACCCGAACTTTTTTACTTCACGGTAACACTGGATGTTTGTGCGATACAAGAGTTGTAGGCAGAGGCGTATCCAGGAGGGGGTCACCGGGTTTACGTGAACCCATGCTCCCTTCCTGAAATCATATATAGAAGTGTTATATTTTTTTAAAAAGATTTAAATATAGATATGTGAACCCACACTTGAAGTATCATAGCGTGCGATTATGATTGGGTGCACCTCTCTAAGTGAGGTTAGAAACTTGAATCTTGTATTTATGTTGTTTTACTTTCCTTTCTAAATTTGGGTAACGCCTCTCTAAGTGGTTTGGATAGGTAAAAATAACTTTGGACCTATAATTTTAAAATTTTAATTATTTTTAGCGATAAGAATCTAAATGTTAAACCGATCAAATTTATATCTTAGATCCACCTTTTTGTAATAGTGCACCCATCATCTCAAAATCCTAGATACGCCTCTTGGCTGTAGGGGGACAAGTTATTAAAACCTATGATGCAAAGCTGCTATAGGGTGAGTTATCCCAACTACAGTCTTTACTAAACCAACCTCAGGATTGAAGTAATCCAAAGATGCCATTATTTATTTCTTGAACCAACATTAATACATATACTCTGCATGAAAAAGAATCAAGCTCGAGCATCAAAGAGCATGTTGCGTGCCTAAAATACCTAATAAAATGAGTTTCCCTATATGAGATGGTCACGTAATTCAAACACTTCGTCATATTTACTAAGACGGAACAAGACCTAGTTAAGATCAAACAATTTCAACCATTTAGTTATATGACACTATTCTTGAGCCATGTCAATTTCCTTCCAAATCATAATAAAATCACTGCAACTAAAAATGGCAAACACTGAAAACAGTATGCAGATGAGGTAACTTGATACAGAAAGTACCAATTTAATTCATATTAATGACAAAATAGACATAAAAAAGACATCATCCCTTGCTGGAAATAAAGGGAATTACAAGGAGGTTGCTCTATTTGAGACTATTATTCATGACATAAGGAAATTAACTCCACAAGATATTGCGCAAATCAACAGTCCCATAATTGCCAAGAAATTGTATTTCCTGCACAGAAGTAAAACCATAATAATTAGCATTCAAAACATTACACACCATTTCATGAACTTTTCCATTCTAATCCCCCGTAACCAGATAAATACTTAATCGCATCCATGTTTATATCAAACCAAAGACATTTAACCTGAAGGGGTCGTCTCATTCAAAACAAGGATATCCAAGGATTACAGGATTAAAACCAAGATTATAGCTTGGATAATGGATCCCACCATGGAATGTCTCCAACCAAACATGAGATAAATTTAATCCTAAAAATTTATACAGGGATGATGCACCAAATCCATTGAACCAAACGGCCTGTAACAGTTAAAAATTAACCATGAAAGTGACAAATGTATGTATGAAATATACTTGACTTCCATTCATTGACCTGGATAAATTTTACCCCCACCATCATAACAAGATCATAATAATTCAATTAATGTTTCTTAGTCAGGGCATTAGGCAAGAGCAAGTAAAAGACTTAGTTCACTACTCAAAAGGAAAAGGTTCATTTCATACAGAACAGTTTTTCTTTTCCTTCTTTGACATTTTTGGATACTCAAATTGTTAGCACTATTCAATCTAAATGAAAATATGCATTCAAGGAAGACTGGACGAGAGACTAACCCAAGAGTAAGACGATTTTGGGGATCGCCAGTGGAATAACCAGTGAAGTAGAAATAGCGAGATACAATATAAACAGCTCCAAGAGATGCACAAATCAAGGGGTGCCTAATTCCTCCAACAATCATCAGCATGAAAAACATTGGCATCATTTCTAATGAATTCTGATGACCTCTCTGCAATCAACACACCAACATAACAACAAATCCATATCATTTCCTAAACTATAAATTACCAAACAATAAACTATGTCATCACCTTTAAACAGAAGATAGCATACCTGAACACAGTTAAAGGACTTAGCATTCTTGTTTTCAGCTTCAGTAGCATACATTGTTGGATAAGAAACCTTGTACCTGTTAAGTTTTCCATCATAAATCAGTATCTCTAGCTTCAAATCACAAAAGGGGTTGGGATAAATCTTACAAAAAACAAATCTTTATATTCAAATCACAAAAGGGGTTAGGGATAAATCTTTAAAAAAATACAAATATATAGCTTCAAAATCACAAAAATCACAAAAGGGGTTTTGTAAAATTAGGCAAAATCAAGAAATAAACAGAGATTTAGACAAAACCGTACTGTTTGCGGGCTTTGCCGACTTGAAAGGACATCCAGAAGTTGAGGAAGCAGTAGGCAGCAAGAGCAAGAATTACATATCCATATTCTTTGGGGAGGAACTCAACTCCGGCCATGGCTTTTTCCGATTTGGGTTTTGAGAGAAAGTATGAGAAATGGGAGAATTGATACTTTGCTTTGTGTTGAGGTGGGGTTTATATTGACTTGTTCAAGATCTCTCTACATTGATGGTATCTTGTTTCTCAAGACTGCACAAATGAGATTTTGACTTTGTTTATTTGTGTTCCCACAATTACAATATAGGAAAGTAAATGTGATTGAATGCAATTTCTACAATTTTTAGACCCTTCTTCTAGAACTAGAAAAAGTGCAAATGGAATTGTTTAGTATAATTTTGATTTGATTTGATTTTTCAAAAAAAATTTGACAAATCTAATGATATTTGTCTCTTTTATCCCTTTCACATTTCCAACTTGTAAATTTTTATTATTTTTTTCATTGTGGTAGTTATTTTTATTTTTGAATTATGAAAAAAATGTCTTGGAAATTATAAATTTTAATTATGTGAATAAAATTTTACAATAAATACCAAATAAGTATAGGTAAAACGCATAGTTATTTATTTACGTAAATGAATTTGATTTTATGATTTTGTCTATTTTTGAACTTATACATCGCAGATTTGATCGGCAGAGGCATAGTTTCGCATTATGATAGAATATGTATGCGACTATATCAATTTCCTTACGACAAGATCCATTCTCATAAGCGGAATCTTTAGCAAGCAGTTTCCAATGTTTGCACCTTAAGATGAGGTCCACTCTCATACTAGCTACTGCATGAATGTGAAAAGCACTGTGAATTGAATTATCCTTTAAATTGACTTAATTAAGCCCTTTCATTAGTCTATTAAGATTTGTTTGGTTGGGAATAAGTTATTACGAGATTAATTATTTTGTAATAAATTATCTCATTATGTACATGAAATAACTTATCTCATTATTGTGGTAAAAATGGTTGGATTACCTAATATCTTCAATCAAACATCTAAGATTATTATATTTTATACCTCACACCAAAAGGCAAAATAAACTAGTTATAAAAATTAATTTTAATAAAAATTAGTTAAAACATTTCAAACCTTTATACGACAATATCAAGTACAATCAAATTTACTTAATAATATCATCATTTGTCATGATATTTTTTTATGTTACAACGAAGTATTGTTACATAGAAAATATATAATATAAAACTATATGAAAAATTAATTCCACAAAAAATATAAATATTAAGATATTATTATTAAAGAGAATTATTATAGAAAAATCTGACTATATACTACTAAATGATCACACTAGCCAAATTTAATTTTAATCAGAAATCAGTAACACAAGATTTCAACTTGGAAAACAATTAAGCACCAAAATTTTCTCAAATAAATAACAAAGTGGACAACAAAAGGAAGGGGACAATGTCAACGGATTCTACAAAGTAAATAAATGACAGGATCGCAATTTAGCTCCTATTAATGAAAAAAAAAAAAAGGAGAGGAGGATTTCCATCTCTTTTACATTTTCTTTTAAATGGAGATCGGAGAAGGAAATTATAAGATGAAATATCGAACTCTTATAAATAAATTACTCCTTCTGCCCCAATTTATGTGATACATTTTGCTTTTCAAGAGTCAAACAGTTTAAGTTTGACTAAGAATTTGCTTATGGAATCTTCAATTTTTTTAAAATGAAATTTATATATTTGTAAACTACATAAAAAGTACTATAAGTCCCAATAATTGATAATTCAAAATATTTAAAAGATATATGGAAAATTTACGGTCAAAGATAGACTTGTTTGAATCTCGAACTTCGAAATGTGTCACATAAATTGGGACAGAGGGAGTATAATTTATGTGGTCAATCAAGAGCTACAATGATTTCCCTCCATATTTCCTAAATAACTTCAAGCAAAATACAATTGATTTTTTACTTGCTTTTTCGTTTCAAAAATTAATTTGACTCATTTTCAAAGTTAAAATGGTTTATATCAATTTAGATATTGTTATAAATTAGTCTCGGTTCAATATTGATTACATAAATATCACATAATTAGTCATTAGATCGAGAAGAAGCAGCATAACTGGAAAGTCTTTACATAGATTGATTTGGACCCAAACCCAATTAACAATTAGTTAAAAGAACAATGAATGAGAAAGAACAATTTAGGCATATTATTGAGAAAAATGCCTAGTCCTATCATCCTCTTTCTTAGAGTTGTCATTTGGTGTGAGAGATGAGAATAAATACTCATGGGATTAAAAAAACACTTGCTAATCTCGCTGCCACAACACCCATGAAGATACGCCACAAAATCGATGGGGAAAACTATACCAAAATGATGAGCTCGTTAGGTAGATCAACTTCCGTTAAAAATCCTAATTGAAAGAACCAACATTCATGGAGAATTAAGGAATTTTCCTTTTGATTTTGCATAATTTTTTGTTGATTTTTCTGAGTTAAAACGAAGTTCAAATAGCTTTTATAAAGCTAAAACGACATAGGGGCTAAGGGCCCACCTTGACATGCCTGCTTGCACAGTCTTACAAAATCATGAATATCTCTCTATTCTGAAGTCGTATGGGCCAATAGTTTAGTGCGTTGGAAACTAGACTCGTAAATCTTCGATTTGGTATGTTGGGGGACACTAATTCTTTACATATTAGGAGAAAACCAACAACACATTTTACCCAATTTTTAAGAGGATTCCTTTAAAAAAATAAAAAATGAAAGTTGCAATAACTTTTTCCAATTTTATTTTGCCACTTGCTTGACTTCAAAACATAACATACAACTATTGTTCAATTGAAATACCCCGTAAAACATATTTTCTAACACATTAAGCTCTTAGTCTTATCCCAAAAGTATGAGTTAGTCTGGCGTTCAGACGAGCATGGTGTTACATTAATATAATCGTTCCACATAGTACAAACAATTTAATTACATCGAGTATGTATTTTTTCTTACTAATTTCAATTTCAAAATAATAATATTTTTTATAAATATAAATTTATAGATGAAGTATTATATCTAAGAAAATATAAATAAAATCCTAATTTGAATTTGTGATTCTAAATTTAAATTATATTGCAATTACGCAATTAACAAGACCTGACATTAGTTTGACGACAAAATAGCAATTGTGGTAAAATATAAGGACTAGTTTGCATTTTAACCAAAAGGCCAAAAAAAAAAAAAAACTTTATATAATTTGCGTGTTGGCCACTTTCCTGTCATAGGGGTTTCCTTTCTTCCAAGAAGAAGAATCACTGCTAAAACCCCTATTCGACGGAGCAGTTATCCTTCGAGTTTTACAGTTAACTACTTCATCTCTCTGTCTTTGTCTATTTTACAATATTGTAGTTTGATTTATAAATTATGATCATACAATGGGGTCTTGCAAGAACAAGAAAAGCACTGAAATTGGGTTTTGCAAGAAAAAGAAAGTAAAAAATGTAATGGGGTTTTGCAAGAAAAAGAAACAAAATAATAATTTGAAATTGGGTGTTGCAAGAAAAAGAAAAAGTTTGAAATGGGGTTTTGTAGAATGTGATATAAAAATGGTTTGCATATGCTTGGGACGTTTCTTGTTTGATTTATATGCTGTGAATTGTGATCATGCAATGGGGTTTTGCAGAATATGACTGAAATGGAAACTGACGATGATGGTGAAGCCATTCTTCTCGAAAAGACACTTATAGACGTTATCTTTTCTTGGTCTTTTAAGGATGTCCTTAACAAAGACCTTTACAAGGACAAGGTTTGTTTTACTGCTATTTTTGTCTTGTCTTATTTTGTGTGTGTTTGGTTTTTGTAGTTATTAATTCTATGGTTTATCCCTTGCCTGTTTCATTTGGTGGCATTTGTTACCAGGGCTTTTACTCTTTACTTAGAATTATCCAGAGTTTAAGTAGGTGTGGATTACCATTGCATCCACTATGGTTCATAAGTGCAACATGATACTTGACTACTTGTAATGTGGTTGCTTGTTAGACTGGGTAGGTGTCCTTTTATTTTTTCGCAACTTGGGTTGTGTGCAACTTTTTAAGATTGATATTTGATGCAAAGAGTAGCTATGAGACTAGGCATATGAAATGTGGATTATCAACACTTTTTTGTATCTTATAGTACTTGTTAGTCATGAATATGGACAATGGGTTGCATTTGATGAAATTAAAACCTGTCTATCAATACATGATTGGGGTAGCATTGCCAGTATAACTGATGTTATTAGTTTTGCACATCAAAGGTAGATGATGAAGATTTCATAATATTTTATGTCAAGGCAAAAACAAAATGTCCATTATCTTTCATGATGTTTGAGCGTATTTGTTTTGGATCTCTATCTTAAGTATATTCTAGTCATATGATCTTGAGTTATTTTGTAGGTGAAGAACATCCCTTCAACCTTTCAGTCCATCGCTTTGTATATGAAGTCATTTGTCTTCACTCTTTTAGAGGAAACACATGCTGATTTGTCTTCTAGCTTCGATAAAGTGGCAAGTGCATCTATATGCAAAATATTGTCTATTCAGGAAGTGGAGAGTAAAAAGCCATTTGATAAATGCTTATACATTATTGAGATGGAAAGGAAAGAGAGTAGTGGTGATGGCAGATCATATGAACCAGAGACGGGGGATCTCTTTGCCATTACAGATGTAAGACCAACATGTGTCGATGATCTAAACAGACCCACAATGTCCTACATAATGGCTCTGGTTCAACGAGTGACATATGAGAAAGATTGTATCAAGATCAAGGTCTTCTCATCGAGACCCTTTTTGGTGGAACAGGGCATTAGGGGAAATCATATGAGGGACTCTTTGTTCTTGGTCTCTCTTATAAATACGACAACAAATACACGCATTTGGAATTCATTGAACTTGGGGCTGGAAAGGCAAAACTCCAAAGTTATTCAGAAAATACTGGAACCTGATTCTGATGTGACTGTAAGCTTCATATTTTTCTCATTTGTTATTCTGCTTAAACAGTCTTACCAGAATGATACATCTTCATATTTCCTTATGAATTTTGACGTCACTATTAGATGACCTTCTATCACCAAGTTCTTCAAGTTGTTACTTGTATATCATAACATGAAATATTTGACTTCTTCTATTGCTTTTGTAGGGTAAGGAGAAGTGTAATGTCTGTTTGCAAGGGGAAGTGTATCGAGTTTGCAGATCAAAGATCCTTGCATCTAATTGGTTGATCAATCTTAATGATTCTCAACAC